ATGAATATCGTATTAAATAAATGAAGTAAGTGTGGCCCAAATAGAAATGTCATTCCATTCTGGGTAACCCTGATTGATATACCTAATACTTTGATTCCATTCATGTAAATGGAGTGTTATTATCTTGGTGCCTCTTGAAAACATCTATGCAAACAGTTATTAGGAGAAACACAGCCAGGTTATTAGATGGAGTCTGCATAGGATGGTCTTGAACAATGACGGTGGAGGATGGTCTTGTGTTTCAGCACTTAACCGCTCAAAACTCTTGCACATAAATGAGTCCTAACTATGCCGTCATGATTGGCAGAGAGGGGGGCAAAAGAAAGAAGCAGGTGTTTGTTTTACAGTAGGAGCTGATTTGTCCTTGATTCCTTGCCAGAGAGATAAAAGGAAGGGGAAATATATAATACAATGCTAGCAAAGCCAGTTGCTAATGGAAACATAGTTGGTTGGGGAGAGAAGGGCTCCTTTCCCTAAGAGATAAACAAAACGGTATAATCAAAGTAATGTTTAGTTGAGTTTGTGATCTTCATTTATTCCATATAAATCTCTCCTTCTGTGATGGGACTCACAGTGGCTTACTTAAGGTTCCCAGGAGGTCTCCTATCCAAGGACCAATCGGACACAGATCTCTTAGTTTCAGCAGGGCGGCTCTCTTCCAATCACACCCTCAGACCTAGATAGGCGGTTACCAATGTTTATGCATTTTGTATTCACATATCTCAGATTATTTAGGCCCACAGAGGGACTGTGGCTCAGCAGTACAGCATCAGTTTTGCATGCAGAAGGTCCCAAGTTCAATCCCCCCTCCCTTCTCCTGCCTTCTCCTGGCTGAATGAGGGCCAGAAGCGGGGCGGCCGGAAGCAGGGGGCGGGGCTTCGTCATGTGCCCCACCCCCGTACCTCACCCAGGGGAACTGCGTTCCCCCCCAAAAAAAATGACCTCTGGAAAGAACTCTGCCTGAAAGAACCACTGACATACTGAATGGGCAATGGTTTGATTCAGTATAAGGCTGTTAAATGTGTTCAAAATAAAAAATCCTTTTAAAAATGAAGTAATGTTTGCGGGGGCGAAATTTGCTAGGAATTGGTTAAGATCACCCATTTTCAATTTAATGTTTTCTGAGGATGACAAATACCTTCTTATTTTCCCTGAGAGCCAGTGTGGCGTAGTGTTTAAGAGCACTGGACTCTAATCTGGAGAACTGAGTTTGATTTCCCACTCCTCTTCCACATTAAGCTTGGGGCAGTCCCAATGCTCTCAGAACCCTCTCAGCCCCACCTACCTCACAAGGTGCCTGCTGTGGGGAGAGGAAGGGGAAGCGACCGGAAGCCACACTGAGACTCCTTAGGGTTGAGAAAAGCAGGGTTGAGAGAAGCCAACTCTTCTTCTTCTTTAAACAAATGAAGTAATGTTTGCAAGGGTGAAATTTTCTAGGAGTTGGTTAAGATCACCCATTTTTCAATTTAATATTTTCTGAGGATGAGAAATACCTTTTTATTTTCCCTGAGAGCCAGCTGTGGTGTATTGGTTAAGAGCGGCAGACTCTAATCTGGAGAACCAGGTTTGATTCCCCAATCCTCCACATGTAGCCAGCTGGGTGACCATGGGTCAGTCACAGTTGTCTCAGAGCTGTTCTCTCAGGAGGAGTTCTCTCAGAGCTCTCTCAGCCCCACCTTCCTCACAGGGTGTCTGTTGTGGGGAGAGGAAGGGAAGGAGATTTAAGCCATTCTGAGACTCTTAAGTGAAGAGTCGGGTATAAATCCTCCTCCTCCTCCAATCCCCTTCAAAGCTGTGAGCAGTTGTGTCCCTCCAAGGTTTACTTGTGGGAGTGCAAGGGTAGGAATAGGAAAGTGTACCACAAAACAGCATTGAGAAATGTGCTCCCCCCCCCAACCAAGAATTCTATTCCCCTCAACCCCTAAGGGAAAATCTAATTGCCAAAATCAAAACCTGTGAAAATTCAGCCTGGCCCTAAATATGCTACCTGAAGTTTTTAGAATATCATCCTACATCCATATTGGAGCTAGAAATCTTACTTATCCTGTGGCTATTTTGATGCTTTCAAATGAAACAACTCTCCAATTCCAAAGTTCATGTGAAGACGATAAAGACCTCTGTAGTGCTTGCTGACAGATAGCAAAAATCTATTCTGTCAGCAAACAAAAAATAACATGAAGGATAACCGACATCCAGTCAGATGTAGAATGGGAAGTCATTTTTATGAATACATTTTTCATGGAAACATGTGAGTTTAAACGGCAACTGTGACAGAATAGGAAAACTTTCATGTCAAATAATTTCCTTTATGTTGCATTAAATAAACTTCCTCCATAAATTCTGGAATTTTAGAAATTCTAGTTCTTGGCCACTGATTCTCCTTGTCTCATAAAAGGGGGGCTGTAAACGTACTTAAAATATAGTTAGGTCAGAGGTGTTCTTGAAAAGAGCAGTTTGTGTCAGAGCTCTCTCAGCCCCACCAGCCTCACAGGGTGTCTGTTGTGGAGAGGGGAAGGGAAAGGAGTTTGTAAGCCGTTCTGAGACTCCGTGAAAGGCAGGGTGTAAATCCAATATCATCATCATCATCATCATCATCTTCTTCTTCTTCTTCTTCTTCTTCTTCTTCTTCTTCTTCTTCTTCTTCTTCTTCTTCTTCTTCTTCTGTCCTCCCCAGGCGCCACCCCCAAATCTCCAGGAATTTCCCAACCTGGAGCTGGCAACCCTAGCCTCTCCTCTGTCCCCCTGGCCACCTTAGCCATGAAACATACTTGACTTGAGCTAGTCACCATTTCATAGCCTACGTTACCTCAGAGGGATATTATGGAGACAAAATTGGATCACCTCTCTGAATCTAAGCCAGAGCTGATGGATTTGAATCCACTCAGTCATATTGCTACTTGCATTTTGAATTTCATTGTCAGTTCTGGCTTTGTAAATAGAGCTGTTCTCTCTTCTCAGGAGGGTAGCTGTGTCGATCTGCAGTAGAAGAACTAGATTTGAGTCCAGTAGCATCTTAGAGACATAAGAGAGGCCATGTTGGATCAGGACAATGGCCCATCCAGTCCAACATTTTGTGTCACGCAGTGGCCAAAAACCAGGTGCCACCAGTAGGGCCAGACTCTAGAAGCCCTCCCATTGTTACCCCTCCCCCCAGCACCAAGAATACAGACATCACTGCCCCAGACATAGTGTTCCACCTATATCCTATGGCTATTAGCCCTGATGGATCTCTGCTCCATATGTTTATCTAATCCCCTCTTGAAATTGTCGATGCTTGTAGCTGCCACCACTTCCTGTGGCAGTGAATTCCACGTGTTAATCACTCTTTAGGTGAAGAAGTACTTCCTTTTATTTTTTCTAAACCTACTGCTTATTAATTTCATTGAGTACCCACAAGTTCTTGTACTGTGAGAAAGGGGGAAAATATTTATTTCTCTACCTTATCTGTCCCATGCATAAGTTACGAGGACTTGTCCTCTTATCGCAAGACTGCTGAGTTTACTTAGGAGCCTTTGATGAGGAACTTTATCAAAAGCTTGCTGGAAGTCTAGGTAAACAACAGGCGCTTTCACACACACTAAATAACGCACTTTCAATGCACTTTGCTACTGAATTTTACTGTGTGAAATGGCAAAATGTATATTGAAATTGCATTATTCAGCATGTGTGAAAGCACCCAACATCTATTGGGTTACCCTTGTCCACGTTTATTCACCCCCTCAAAGAACTCAGTGACAAGATCTTCCCTTCCAGAATCCATGCTGATTCTTCCTCAGTAGTTTTTGTTGATCTATGTGCCTACTAATTCTATCTTTAGTAGCAGATTCCACCAACTTACCCGGTATCGACATAAGACTGAACTGTAATTTCCCAGATCTCCTCTGGAATCTTTTTATAAAAGACCAATGAGATTTTCAGGGTATAAACTTTCAAGAGTCAAAGCTCCCTTTGTTGGACGCCTGACCTGCTATCTGACAGAGGGTGCTTTGGCTCTCCAACGCTTATACCACGAAAATCTGGTTGGTTTCTAAGGTGCTTCTGGACTCAAATCTAGTTGTTCTGTCTCGTAATTAATCTTATGTTGCTGACATGCCATATGCTAGGGTGGGAAACAATTGCAGCCACAAAAAGAGTAAGAGGAGAGAACAAAGAAAGGTGCCAGTTCCCAGTGCACAAGGAGCCATTACAAATGTGCAGAGGTCATTTCGGGGGGGATCGCAGTTCCCCCGGGTGAGGTGCGGGGGCGTGGCACATGACGAAGCCCCGCCCCCTGCTTCCGGCCGCCCCGCTTCCGGCCCTCATTCAGCCAGGAGGAGGCAGGAGAAGAGGGAGGGGAAGACACCGTCCGGTATGAGAAGAGGTATGGCAACCACTTGGCTCCCATGCTGGTGGAACAGTGCGTGGATTTTATTCGGCTGCGTGGGCTGAAGGAGGAAGGGCTGTTCCGATTGCCCGGTCAGGCTAACCTCGTGAAAGAACTGCAGGATGCTTTTGATTGCGGGGAGAAGCCGTTGTTTGACAGGTAACGTGGGGGACGTATCTCTTTCCAGACTCCTGACATGCCCCGGGGCAAGCAGAACCATTCTGTTAAGGGCCCAGTGAGTACGTCAAGAGACCCTGCTGTGAAATAGGTGGAGTCTTTAGCTGGGGAGAGTTCCAGTCCCTGCTGAGCCATGAACAAGTTACCCCAGGATAATAGCCTCTGAATTAATTTTATCCTCGGGTGGACAGCCAGTTAATAGGCCACCAGTGTACTGTGGTTACCAGGTCTCTGCAGCTGCTAACATTTCGTATGGTGAAATCCAAACAGGAAGCTCCAACTTGAACAGTCTCTGGGAACTTCTCATGTGATCCTCCCTATCCAGAAGGTTCAGTCATAAACATTATACCGGTTCTGTGCAGAACCTAAACATGCTGCTCTGATAATGTGTGAAGTATAGCTCTGTGATACTTTCCATGCTGTTAAGCACAACCTGAACCATCTTGAATTTTATATTCTATAACTTTGTCATATTTCTCTCTCTCTCTCTCTCTCTCTCTCACACACACACACACACACACACACACTCTCTCTCTCTCTCTCTCTCTCTGTTCAGTTGTGTGGAGGGGCTGTAGCTCAGTGACAGAGCATCTGTTTGGCATGCTGAAAGTGCCAGTTTCAGTCATCTGTATATCCAGTTAAAAGGATCAGGTTGTAGGTTTTGTGAAAGACCTCAGCCTAAGATCCAGAAGAGCTGCTGCCAGTCTGAGAAGACAATACTGATATCGATGGACTGTGGTCTGGTTCAGTATCAGGCAGGTTCATGGGTGTGTTCAGTTCAGACATTGCACATAAGAACATAAGAATGTAAGAAGAGCCAGTGGTCCATCTAGTCCAGCATCCTGTCTCACACAGTGGCCAGCCAGAGAGGCCGAGGCCTTCCCCTGTTGTTGCCTCCTGGCTCTGGGATTCAGCAGCTTAGTGCCTCTGAATGTGAATGTGGAAGTTCCATGGTTTAATTAAACTAACTGTGCTAAGCATGATTGTAACTAACTGTGGTTGGTTAGGGTCCAAAGCAAGGATCTTGGTCTTAACTATGGTTTTATGTGATGTGTATATGCAGATGTCCATGTTTAATTCTGGTTTGTTCTCTAGTGACTCCTCCTCAGGCTATAGGAAGAAGGGGGGAAAATAGGATTTGTTGAGGCAAGCCAGGGTCTTAGTGATTGCGAGCCGATTCCTGGTCTCACAAACCAACCATAGTCACAATAAACCGTACGATTTCTGAACTCAGCCTCTCTGCCTCTGTCTCTCTTCTTCCTCATTGCAAATGCTGAGGCCTAGCTGGTCTCTTTGCTTTGTGATGATGTAGAATGAGGAATGGAAGCAATGAATCATGGTATTTTAAACTTGAGAGGAAAAGGTTGCAGTTGTCACTAAAACAAGTGCCCCAGTTTTCAGCTAGGGCTGCCTGGTCCCCCCTGGCTACCTGTGGGGGTGGGGTGGCCAGATCCAGGCTGGGGAACTCTTGGAGATTAAGGGGTGGAGCCTGGGGAGGAGAGGGACCTCAGTGGGGTACGATGCCACACAGCGTCCCCCCTCCAAAGCATCCATTTTCTCCAGGGGAACTGATCTGGAGATGAGCTGTAATTCCGGGGGATCCCCAGGTCCCACCTGGAGGCTGGCATCCCTAACCAAGGACTGTCACTTTCCATGTTTGTTTATTCCACTGGGGGAGGAGCAGGTGTGGAAAGCCCCTGGTTATAAGATCCTGCCCATTTGATCTGTGCTCGGAGGAGGAGGGGTGGAAAGCCCCTGGTTTTAAGATCCGGCCCATTTGATCTGTGCCCCCCCCCCCCCCGTTTTGCTTCTGCAGTATACTGAGCGGAGAGCATGCTGTGAGGGATGGTTCCTCTGCGCTCCCGTGTTTTTGTAGCTAAGGAACATTTCTGCCAGCCTCAGCAACTATATTTCCTGCCATCCAGCAAAGGCACTTTGCAAGATGGGCCCCTGCAGATTAGCTGTAGTTCCTTTAGTGCAGCGGTGGAGTTTCTGTGTTCCGCTTCTTTCTCATTGATAGTCTTGAAGGTGCATGGGGGGAGGGGATTTTCCAACTATTTTACAATGTGGGGGAAATAATTTAAAATACGCTGCTGTTCCTCGCAGGCTAGTAGCAGGGTTCACGACTGGAATTGATTTAATAGATTACTTAATGGCGTGCAGAATTTGAATTTGCATTGTTATTGTTTCTTGATGCCCTGATGGTATCTTGTGTGGCTTTTTCATTTGCTTTGGCTTCTTAGCATTTGTGTAATGGGACATTCTCAGGCAAATAGTAATGGCATTTTGCGTATTCATTTGAAGTGGTTTAGTATTGTTTTTGCCCTGCTTTGTGATAGCTTTTCATCATGAGCGGTATACTCAAAAAATTGACTTTCCTACGTTCTGGCCTTTGTAGGTTTGCAACATTAGAAAAATAGTTATGTCACTTATCTTGTACACTTGTACAAAGCCACTAAAGGTAACCAGTGCCTGTATCCCAGTCCTTTCAATGGAGAGGGGCTGTGGCTCAATGGAAGATCCTCTGTGCTGCATGCAGAAGGTCCCAGGTTCAATCCTTGTTATCTCCAATCAAAAAGGACTAGGCAGTAGGTGATGTGAAAGATACCCTGGAGAGTCTGCCCCTCTGAACAGACAATACTGACTTTGATAGACCAATGCTACGGTTCACTGTAAGGCAGCTTCATCTGAGTTGTTCATCTGTGTAAACCTCCTGTTTGACATGAGGATAACTGTAAAATGTTCAGGCTTACATACAACAGGTATGGCATCCAAGCAGAGCTTTGCTAAGCTCTGTACAGCTTTTCAGAAACATGTTTGACAGTGGCCAGATTTGCCCTCTCAAAGCCAACCAAAATAAGCGGTCTTGCAGAGCTGATGAAGAACCTCAGGTGTGACCCCTGTGTTCCAGAACTTTTATGCGCCAGCAGCGCAGTTTGGAATGAACCACAGGGAGGCAACAACTACACCACAGAAGGAATTAGATCTTTGATGTATCTTTAAGAAAAGGTGATGGTTCAGGTGCCTGGCAGGTGGGCACAGGTAATGCCCCTGTGAGTGCCACTGTCCAAATTGGATGTGAAGAAGCACACAGAAGGACAAAGAAGGGAGCTGGTAGCATCGTGATTAGATTCTGCTTCTGGAGTTGGTTTGATGGAACTTCGGTGTTGGTAGAACTAGGTCTTGCCATCTGCTCAGGGAGGATTTGCATACATGGCAAGCGACTGTCACAATGAGCAAGTGCTATTTGTTTACAGTGACATTTCCCCCATCTACAGATGTAAACAGGAAAACAAAGAATTGGATTTCATTGGATGCACACTGAAAAGGGAATATGCAGTGATTTTTACACAATCGCTTCAGAGGAGTCTATTGTGTTTTAAGGAGCAGCTGGGAGCCTGAGAACAATTGCAGGAGTGGAGGACTATTTGGAACACACACACAACCCTCCCCTCCCCAGATTCTCTAACCCAGTAGTACTCACTCCGCCAACAGTCAAAAGCCATGTTTGCAATGACTTTCAGCCAAAAGAGCCACATTTTACTTCTCTCCCTAGTGGGAGTTCTGCATTTTAGAGAGGCTCTCGGCTTACTTTTTTCTTCAGTGGCAGCTGTTTCAAGTTGTGAACCACCTGTCAGCCACAAGACCCACTGGGCAAGGACCTTGCTCCCTTTCCTGAACCATGGGGCAGGTGCTGCATTGAGGAACAGTCGTCGGAAGAAGCCACCAGTGGCTCCCAAACCACTGAGCGAGCATCACTGCTTTAAGCTCTTGGGGACTTAAGGAGGTCAATTGCCCCTTCCTTTTGCCTTCTACTCACTCTCAGCTGCCCTCATCATTTCATACTCCTGGAACATACTCAGGCCACTGGGGGTTTCTTCCTTTGTCTTTTGCTTAATTTCCACAGTAATATTTTTGTACATGCTTGGGAACTTAAAGTTACTGTGTAGAAACCAATATGTTGGCTTTGAGTGGCCCAGTTTCGTTGCATTGGATCAAGAGGGGGTAACCCTGTTAGTCTGTCCGTAGCAGCAGAAAAGAGCAAGAGTCCAGTAGCATCCTAAATACTAACACAGTTTGTAGCAGGGGATGAGCTTTTGTGAGTCACAGCTCACTGCTCACTTCTTCAGCTGCTGATGTAGTGGGCAGTGACACGGGAAAGCTCATACCCTGCCACAAATTTTGTTAGTCTTTCAGGTGCTACTGGACTCTCGCTCATCAGTTTCACTTCATTTGTGATCATACCAGGGTCCTGCCAGTTTACTATGAGATATAATGACATAGAAACATAGAATGTTAGAGTTAGAAGGGACCTTGCAGGTCATCTAGTCCAACCCCCTGCACTCTGCAGGAGCATAGCCGAAAGATAGCCCTACAACATACCCGAAAGATGGTTGTCCAGCCCCTGCTTGAAAACATCCAGCGAAGGAGCATCCACCACCTCCTGAGGCAGTCTGTTCCACTGCTCAACCACTCTTATAGTTAGGAAGTTTCTCCTGATATTTAGCCGGTAACGACTCCCTTGTCATTTCCACCCATTAGATCTAGTCTTGCAATCCGGAGCAAGAGAGAATAGATCTGCTCCGCCTTCTACATGACAGCCCTTCAGATATTTGAAGGGGCCTGCAAGGAATCCTGGAGAGGGAGGGGACGTAAGAAATTTGGACCGCCCCAGATCTTCCCGCTTGGATTTTCTAAATGCTGAGCAGTTTCATTTGGCCGCTGTTTCCCCTTCCCCCTTTCTTTTCTTTTATTAACAATTTTAATTTTTAAACATAACCTGTCCATGCAATAGCTTTTCTCATAATCAAATTTTAGTATGTCATTGATACATTCGTTTTCGTCGTATACTGTTCCAGCGTCGTTGCATTACGACTCTTTTATTTACCATTGCTTTACATTTTCATTAAGCAACACACCTTAAACTTTTACACTAAACTCAAAAATAAATCATTTTTTTGATACCGTAGATTATTTGGGAT